CGGGTCGATTGCGTGACAGAAATCAAAGCCAAAGAGACTTGCCGGTGCGATAGGCAGAGAATGAGTTGGAATGAACCCAAGAAGCCATCCAACTGGTGGTGTCCTTGAAGGGCAATCCCCAGGTCCATTCCCTCATTCCCCACTGAGCACCAGCAAGGAGATGGGTACCAAGTTGGCGTTGTTTATCTGTTCGATCCTTGCAGGTAGAAGTTCCCTTGGTTATATGGCCATGGGTCAAAATCCCGCACCCCCAGTGAGCATCCCAATCCCCACTGAAATAGACTAAAATGGGTGCCCCAAAATGGTACCATTGGTTTTGACCCACAGCCATATGTGCGGTTCCCCAAAACCCTTGCGGAAGGAAAGAGATCCGCACCTGGCCCCGCAAGTTGTTTGGGGAGTGGAAGCTTGTTAAACCAGGGGCTGTCTGGAGATGAAGCTTGATCTTGGGCGAGCGGCCACCTCCAAGGTACTAGCAGTTGGCTCTTGGCTTTTGGCTCTTAGCAGCCTTGAGTCACAAAGAGAGTCCAAATGAAGAACCTTCAAAGTCTTTGTTCACTCGTCATGTCCGCAAGGAAACTGTTGAGCACATCTTCAGCCCGCCTGAGAGGCTCAAAATGGCCAGCTTTCACGGGGAAGACGGGCAAGTCGAAACCCATCGGGTCCCGAGCGTTAAGGAAAATACAAATCCGGGGCGCTCTTACTGTGGATGGACGAAATCCATTTCGCACCACCTAAGCAACCCTGTAATGATAGTGTTGCAGTAAATACCAACAAACAATGGTTTCCCATAGTGTCCAGGCGTTGTAGGATTTCGTCCATCCACAGTACGACTCTGAAACTGGTCCAGGATACCCCGAACTTCCAACGAGTTGACGCTCGGTGCGGTGTGGGGCCTGAAATAGCTCGACTGGCAACAACTCCTGCTTTGAAGTCGCTGGCTGGGCAGATGTTGCAAGGGTCCCACAAAAGCAGAGTTGTTCATGACTGACCTGGAATTCTATCATTCATTTCCCATCTTTCCCTTTCCTTGCCTTTCTATTCCTCGCATTCTTCCATCATCAATTTATCATCCAAAATGCGAGGTGATGAAGATAGAAAGGCTCGCCAGGAAAGCGAAATAGCGAGATATCTTCACCCTCTATCTCTTCGTTTCTAAGATTGACGGTTCTATCTGTGGCATAATCCATTCTTAGAAACGAGAAGATATCAGATTATAAGATAGAAAGATAAGGCAAGGCCTGACAATGAATGATGCAACAGGAAATCGAGGGAGTGAGATTGAGTGCTTTTCTCTTCTCTTCACCTTTCACCTTTCATGTTCATTATCTATTTTATCATGTTATTTTACTATCTTATAATTAAGGAAAGATTATGAATGAAAAAGAAAGAAGACAACCAATAAACAAAAGAGAGATAATGAAAGAGGAAAATGGTAAGAGAAGGAAGAAGATGTACCTAGCTCCCCAATCCATGAATTGGGTAAGCGATAGAATCCTTTCCTTTTCTCTTTTCTATTTACATTTATTTTCATGGAATTTCTTTCACTTTCTAATCCCATTCTTTTCAGGAGTTAATATGTTAGGGATGGAATGTCTTTCTTTATCTCGCATTCTTCTATCTTCAAATTAGAGAGTGAAGAGAGAGGTAAAAGAGATGTCACCTGTCTTCTCCTTCCTTCACTATCCCTTTGGTCTGTTCATCAGGATCTACAGGTGAGAGAGATGACCAACGGTCAGGTCCCTTCCCTTCCTATCACCTGCCGTGGGCTTCATCCCTATCTCATGTTGGCTCCGCTGGGTCTTGGAAGGAAGCGGTTAGGGAGTGAATGAAGGGATGAATGAACGAGAATAGATGGTGAGAGGCTTGTCCTCGCTTCATTCCTCATCAACTCCAGGCATTTAACCTCCGGCATAGATAGGAGGGAGAATGGTTTACCTTGCTAAAGCGCGTGTTATGTTCGATGCAGGTTTGATTGTTGTATTCCATTGAGAATGATTAGACTTTTTCTGCATTTAGAAAGGTCGGTAAGAAGCAAAAGCTTGCTCCGGGATGTTGTCGGAGTCATTGAGACGTACTTGTTGGTGTCGTTCTGAAGCATCTTTTCTCCGCCCTTCACATCAACAGATCATGGGGGCTGGGGGGGAGGGAGGGGAGGGGGAGGGAGCCCAAATAAGCCCTTATTAAGCCCAGCCCCCATGAACAGAGTGAATTATATGCAAACATTCTGCAATCATGGTCTTTTGCATGAAGCTTTTCACGGTGCGCTTCATGAAGTCTACAGTGTGGATGGTGGGCTCAGACATAGCTGACGACACGTTTTATGACACACATCCCTAGAGTGCAACCTTGCCGCATGTCACAAGGCTTCCTAAAATTGGGGATATGGCTTTCCCGAACTGCGCGAAGCCTAAGGTTCCTAAACTATCCACTGGTGAGAATCGGGTGAAATGAAAGGATGGTAGAATTTTGCTGGATGTGCTGACCTAAGCGCTCGCAGGCTGAGACGAGTGAGAGTCCAGGAGGCCGATGCATTGGGGTGGGGGAAACAATCAAGGACTCCCTTTGAATGGTGTGAAAGCTGGAAACCGAAACGTTGCCATACGGGTTCTTTGCCGTAGCAAATGCCAGCTATCCGTGTGGGAATTCTGTTTTGGGCGTGTGTCAAACGGGGCGCGACATGGATGTTCGGGTTCAAAGGGCAAGCAACATGGACCTTTGTCAGGGTTGCTGATTTGACACAAACTCATCTAGGACCGATGTTGAGAGGATCCGGACATGGTTTGATTCTAGTTGGATTTACATGAAAATTGTGGCCGACAATTATTGCAATTGCGTTTTGATGTTGCAAGCTTAGGCCATTGGACGTCGGCTTGGCAAGATCTCCATGCACGCCGAGATTCGGTCTCTCTTGGCTGATGGCTTAAGGCGAGCAAATTCGACAAGGTTCGTAGTAGCCGTCTAATCGATGTAACATACCCGATGCTGTCTGTGGTGGTGAAGAATACCTTTCTGCACTTTTTCGGTGAGGAGTCACCGCCGCAGGCAGGCCGCTCCTGGTCGGACTTGGAGACATACACTTGGCAGACCCCAATTTGCGAGGAGAAGCAGGACCGGACACTTGGTTCCTTAGAGACTTGTGACGCAGCCAGCTCGGGATCCAATTCGGGCAGCCTGACCAGTGAGGTCTCCAGTGGGAGGCTCATACACCATCCGTGTGAAAATGGTGAGGCTTCGTCAACCGAGGGTGTGCAACGCCCAGTGCCGGAGGCTTGTGATCCGAAATCCGTAAAGCCGTCTGCAAGCTCAGAACGTCATCAGAAGCAGATCAACCAGGACGATCTTTTTGACTTCCCTCTACATTTGCTTTACTGTTTATCAGGGCTACCACACAAAAAGGAAATATGGCCGTGGATCAAAAGCCCTTATTCCCAGTGAACATCCCAATCCCCACTAATAGGTTCTAAAATGGGTGGTGAATTCACCTACCCCAAAATGGGACCAAATCGGTTTTGACCCACAGCCATAATAGGACCTCTCTTGAAGTAGCGCCCCTGAGGAGCTGGTGAACAGCGCAAAGTCTGGGGACTATCTCAAGCTACTGGAGGCATCGACTGCCGGGCTTCGGAGTCAGATGCGGTGATGAACATAGGTGTCCTTTTTGGTGGTTTTGGTAGAAAAATAGATCTATTTGCCTAAAAGGACACCTATGGCGACGAGTTTTAATTAAAGGACCCTTTGGTGGACATCAGAATTCGGGAGAGATTCGTGTCCACCAATCACGTATGGTGGGTGGTTCCCCTGTTCAAATTTATGGCCATGTAAGTAAGCGCAGTTGGCTTATTGGTTTTTTCGGGCTGGGGAAATCACGGCGACTTTGCCCATGGATTTTTCTGGGCAAATCTGCAGGAGATGTTTCTCACTCCCTATGCATCAAGGACCTTGGGACACCATGTTGCCTATTTGAAGTGCAAAATAGGGTACTTCCTGAAAAGTGGTCACGCCCAAAGGGTTGAGGGCAATATCCCTTCCGCGTAAAAGGAACGCAACACCGTGTCCCGCCACCCGTTGATCTTGGTGGCTCCCAGCCATCCGGTCCCTTCGCTTTTTAGATCTTTTTAGTTGGTTCTGCGGGTTCCGAATTTAACCCACAAGTTCTTCACTTGTTTTTCTTCAATGGATCAGAGAAAACGGGCCCAGTGATCCCTCCAGCCCCCTTGACAAAGTTCTTTCCATGAAACCCACAAAACCCTTCCATTCCCCCTAAAAGTTCCACACATGTCTTGCGCCAAAAAAGAGAAAGACGGAGAAGAATAAAAAAAACGGGCGGCACGGCTTCCGAATTCCCAGAGCTCGATGCATCTCCAGGCCCCGAGGGATTCCGTCGGATTCCGTCGGTCGAAGTCGAAGTCGCGTCAGGTGGCTGCGAAGCATCTCCCGCGGCTGAACGCCGTGAACCTGGCCACCGCCTTCCATCGCCTCGCCCGCCTGCCCGAGGCAACAAAGGTGCTCCAGCACCTCGGGCTTTTCGTCGGCCTTTTTTTTTTTTTCTCTGATGGGGGGGGATTTTGTTGTTGGATGTTTGTGCGTTGTTTTGTTATTATCATTGTTTTCCCGCTGTGTGGTTCTTATTTTTGGAGATTCGTGGCCTTGTTTTTTGTTTTTTGTTTTTCGCTTTTGGCTGCTTGGCTTTTCTAATCCTCACTCCCTGCGTTCATGGACTTTAGTCACTTCTTGTTTGTAATGATGTGGTGAGTCATGTGCTTCCTGTGGTTACGCCCTGGGCCAGAGTAACCCGCACAAGAGGTGGACTTTAGTCACTTTTTGGAAAGACCATTGTAGAGGGAAATAGCAAGTTCTATAACTTTTGTTTGGCAAATCCGCTCAGGAAGTGGGAATCCACCCCTCCCCTTCAACAAAAGCGCCCCATCGTTTCGATTTGTTCCGCGGGTTTTCTCGATCCCACTTCTGAGCCTCCTTGACAAAAGAAGCCCCGTGTGTGGTTCGCTGGTTATCCTCGTATCTGCCCCAAGTTGGCTGGTCAATCGGTTGGTTAGTTGGTTGGCTGGTCGGTTGGTTGGCTGGTCGGTTGGTTGGCTGGTCGGTTGGTGGGTTGGTTGGTGGGTTGGTTGGTCGGTTGGTCGGTTGGTTGGCTGGTCGGTTGGTTGGCTGGTCGGTTGGTTGGTTGGTTGGTCGGTTGGTTGGTCGGTTGGTTGGTTGGTTGGTCGGTCGGTTGGTTGGCTGGTCGGTTGGTTGTTTGGCTGGTGGGTTGGTTGGCTGGTCGGTTGGTTGGTTGGTTGGTCGGTTGGTTGGTCGGTTGGTTGGTTGGTTGGTCGGTCGGTTGGTTGGCTGGTCGGTTGGTTGTTTGGCTGGTCGGTTGGTTGGCTGGTCGGTTGGTTGGTTGGTCGGTTGGTTGGTTGGTTGGTCGGTTGGTTGGTCGGTTGGTGGTTGGTCGTTGGTTGGTTGGTTGGTTGGTTGGTTGGTTGGTTGGTTGGTTGGTTGGTTGGTTGGTTGGTTGGTTGGTTGGTTGGTTGGTTGGTTGGTTGGTTGGTTGGTTGGTTGGTCGGTCGGTGGTTGGTTGGTCGGTTGGTGGTTGGCTGGTCGGTTGGTTGGCTGGTCGGTTGGTTGGTTGGTTGGTCGGTTGGTTGGTCGGTTGGTTGGTTGGTTGGTCGGTCGGTTGGTTGGCTGGTCGGTTGGTTGTTTGGCTGGTCGGTTGGTTGGCTGGTTGGTTGGTTGGTTGGTCGGTTGGTTGGTCGGTTGGTTGGTTGGTTGGTCGATCGGTTGGTTGGCTGGTCGGTTGGTTGTTTGGCTGGTCGGTTGGTTGGCTGGTCGGTTGGTTGGCTGGTCGGTTGGTTGGTTGGTTGGTCGGTTGGTTGGTCGGTTGGTCGGTTGGTTGGCTGGTCGGTTGGTTGGCTGGTTGGTTGTTTGGCTGGTCGGTTGGTTGGCTGGTCGGTTGGTTGGTTGGTTGGTCGGTTGGTTGGTCGGTTGGTTGGTTGGTTGGTCGGGCGGTTGGTTGGCTGGTCGGTTGGTTGTTTGGCTGGTCGGTTGGTTGGCTGGTCGGTTGGTTGGTTGGTTGGTCGGTTGGTTGGTCGGTGGGTTGGTTGGTTGGTCGGTCGGTTGGTTGGCTGGTCGGTTGGTTGTTTGGCTGGTCGGTTGGTTGGCTGGTCGGTTGGTTGGTTGGTTGGTCGGTTGGTTGGTCGGTTGGTTGGTTGGTTGGTCGGTCGGTTGGTTGGCTGGTCGGTTGGTTGTTTGGCTGGCTGTTCGGTTGGTTGGCTGGTCGGTTGGTTGGTTGGTTGGTCGGTTGGTTGGTTGGTTGGTCGGTTGGTTGGTTGGCTGGTCGGTTGGTTGTTTGGCTAGTTGGTTGGTTGGCTGGTCGGTTGGTTGGCTGGTCGGTTGGTTGGTTGGTTGGTCGGTTGGTTGGTCGGTTGGTTGGTTGGTTGGTCGGGCGGTTGGTTGGCTGGTCGGTTGGTTGTTTGGCTGGTCGGTTGGTTGGCTGGTCGGTTGGTTGGTTGGTTGGTCGGTTGGTTGGTCGGTTGGTTGGTTGGTTGGTCGGTCGGTTGGTTGGCTGGTCGGTTGGTTGTTTGGCTGGTCGGTTGGTTGGCTGGTCGGTTGGTTGGTTGGTTGGTTGGTCGGTTGGTTGGTCGGTTGGTTGGCTGGTCGGTTGGTTGGCTGGTCGGTTGGTTGGTTGGTTGGTCGGTTGCTTGGTCGGTTGGTTGGTTGGTCGGTCGGTTGGTTGGTTGGTTGGTCGGTCGCTCGGTTGGTCGGTCGGTTGGTGGGTTGGTCGGTCGGTCGGTTGGTTGGTTGGTTGGTGTGTCGGTTGGTAGGTCGGTCGGTCGGTCGGTCGGTTGGTTGGTCGGTCGGTCGGTTGGTTGGTTGGTCGGTCGGTAGGTTGGTTGGTTGGTTGGTTGGTGTGTCGGTTGGTCGGTCGGTCGGTCGGTCGGTCGGTCGGTCGGTCGGTCGGTCGGTCGGTCGGTCGGTCGGTTGGTTGGTTGGTTGGTTGGTGGGTCGGTGGGTCGGTTAGTCGGTTGGTTGGTTGGTTGGTTGGTTGGTTGGTCGGTTGGTTCTTTGTTCCCTTTTTGTCAATCCCACTTGCCTTGCCAAAGCGAGCCGAGATCTGCAAAGCGTTTTTGGTTTCCATATTTCGTCGAGGCTCCAAAAGGTGAAACTGTTATTAACCAGGCTCCCGCCTGCTGCCGCCGACCCTCGGCGGATTTGCAGAGAGAACCCCAGGGGGGCATGCGGCGGAAACCGGATTAACGGACAGGTCGGAAAGATGGCCGCTCGTCCGTTAATTGCCGCGCGGGCCGGTTTCTGCGCCTGGGACCAGCCTGGACTGGGGGGACCCAGTCCAGGCTGGTCCCAGGAGCCCGTGCGGCATTAACGGACGAGCTGCCACCGTTCCGACGTGTCCCTTAATCTGCGCGGGGCCGGTTTGCGTCGTTCAAGGTGCGTCGACTTGGCCCGGGAGGCCGAAATAGCGGAGGAAACAGGTGTCCAGAGCGGCGTGGGTGGATCCGACGCCAGC